AATCACATCCTTTCTCATTACAATTATAATGTAACAATACAGAGAACAATATAGAAAAACAAAAGAAATTAGCAAAGAAAACACCGCAGTCGCCATGGAAATTATCAGACGCCTCACAATTGTTACAAAAGAGCATTTTTGTTCAGCGACAAAGCGACTTGAAAAAACCGCGTCCCCTTCTGTAATACTGTGTAATTATGGGCGGCACAGTGTAACCTTATTACACTTGTAATCTGTAATCCTTCCGGATCTCTCCAATGTAATTTTGCAGGTCAGTATTCAATTTGAGGATGGAAATGAGGGGTACAATGTATTTTGTTGGCCATAACTGTGTTATGTTGTGAGTAAAATTGATATTTTATATCTAGCTTTATAGCTTGTATGATATAAAAAAACTTAAAATATCCTTTTTTTTATACAACTTAGAATGGCAAACAAGCTAACGGCCCACCTGATGGAAAGTGGTAACCGTCGCCTATACACATGAGCAGTACCATGGACATAACAGAGTATACTGTTTCGCCCATGATACGTCCCAAGCGTTGCCATTTCTGAGGACTCAGGTGTTATTCCTCTGTACCCTGTAAATTCACGCCATATCCCACCCTTCAAACCGAAACACAGCCATGCAAACACAACTGCTTCACGGTTGAAACACGAATGGGACAGAGGTACCCAATGGCAATACATCAATGGCAACGTATGAGGGGTATCATGGGCGAAACAGCATACTCCGTTATGTCCATGGTACTGCTCATGTCTATAGGCGACGATTACCACTTTCTATCAGGTGGGCCGTCAGCTTGTTTGCCATTTTAAGTTGCATAAAAAAATTATCTGAGATATTCATGACAATATTTGTACTTATAGCCGACGGTTACCATCATTTATACCGTTAACATGTTTTCTGTTTCAAATAACATATAAAAACTAGAATAACGTAAAGCCACGACCTATTTTACAAAGCACTATAACCTGTTATTCCAGAAAAGTTGCATAACTAATGGTCCAGTAAACGATACCGTCACACGACTAAAATATTCACCTGGCTCCGCTCCAAATCCGTGTTCACGGGAAATGTTTTCACAGCTTCAAATTACCATTCAGTCTAATTAAGAAACAATTTAATAACGTTGCAACTTTAAAAAGTTTTACCTGATTTTATGTTAATTATTATACTTAAAAACAATATGTATTTACATTCATACATACATACATAGATAATTCAAAAAATAATATGTAAATTTTGTTCTACACAAAAATAGAAACAACGAATTTAATATAAAACCAGTTATTTTGATATACAAACCAAATTATTGAATTCATGTTAATAATAATAATAAATTTATTTGTTTTAACTAAGGTAGTTATTGGCGGTGTTATCTATACTTATAATAAATCTGTAGAGAGGTCAATTCTGTACATGAAATATATTTCCAAAATAACTATCAGCGGATGATTAGTGATCGATACTGATGCCAAAAATGCAATCAGTAAAATTTTTGTCTGTCTATCTGTGTGTTCGTTATAGAAACAAAAACTACTCGACGGATTTTAACGAAACTTGGTACAATTATTCTTCATACTCCTGGGCAGGTTATAGTATACTTTTCATCACGCTACGATCAATAGGAGCAGAGCAGTGAAGGGAAATGTTGGAAAAACGGGAGAACCGCTTTTTAAAATTTAAAAATGTCCACCCGTGCGACGCCAGAACGGGCCGCTAGTGTTAAGTAAAGTTACTTAATTTATGAATAATTAATAAATTCGGAAAATTTATTAATCGATTTATTAACGGCCTATTTAGCTTTTTACAGAATAACATGCAAATGTCACATGCTGGTTGGACCTGATCATTTCAAGCATCGACAATACCGTACCAACTGTAATAGATATTTACTTATCTTTCTTTAAAAATTCGTCTACATAGTAGTATATATATATATATATATATATATATATATATATATATATATATATATATATATATATATTTTTAATGGATGATAATGGTATGGTAACCCCGCCTGCGCTAACGGGATACGCTGGCGGAGCACCAGTGAAGAGTGATAGATGAGAATGAAAACAGACCAATGATGAATTCATCAGGAATTAACCATGACAGTTTCCAGGAGGAACCGCGAGGAGGTCGACCTGGTTGGGTATATTGCTAGCAATGGGATTCTCAGTCTCTATTACTAACAAACCCTTTCCCCCCAGTACCAGTATTTGTAGATTAAAAAAAATCTTTCAAATTGGTTTATAAACGGCGGAGTTCTAAAGTACAGCCTGGCCTTTGACATAGAATGGACTAGCTATTCCATTTTCGTGGGTGTCGTTAAAGGCGACTAAAGAACTCAGTGGTCGAGGGAAGGACAGCAGCGTCCATTTTAAAACAACCACCAATCCACCGCGTACGGGTAAACGCAATGTAAAACGACCCCTCACTAGATGGAATGACGATCTGAAATGCATTGCAGGGAGTCAGTGGATCTGGGGGATGCGCTAATATACCGGTGCATCCCCCGATTGGTAGTGTGAGCACGCCATTCACCCTATCTTGAGAGAGGAGACCTGCTCTTACCATCTGGGGGCAGGTCGCTGCCGTCGGAGATGTGGTGAGTGCGAAAGCGAACCCATATCTCCGACATATGGCACCTCGAGGGTATATCATCTGGTTTTTGGTAGTTACACCTTCACCTTACGGGAGGATTCCCACAGTACCCATTCACCTCCCACAAGGTGCATGAGTCTGCATAAAGCATTTTCCAGACGTTAAAAAAAAAGGGAGTCAGTGGATGCATGTGGCTCAGGACCGTTCTTTATGGCAGTCTATGGGGGAGGCTTATGTCCAGCAGTGGACGGATAATGGCTGAAATGATGATGATGATGATGATGAATAATATTAATATGATCAGTAGGCCAGTAGTCCAGTAACACGCGGCATGGAAAATTTGTGTATTTTCAAAATATTTCCCTTTTACACTTAATACCACGCCGCATCCATATTTATGTAAACTCGAGCGGTGCCGTGATTACGGGAGATTATGCAACTAACAAGTACCCGTGGTTGTGATGAAAATATCAATTTTCAACATAAAAAAAAAACACCTGATAACACTGACTTTTTATGCAATTTTGTAGTGTACTTTCAAGGAGTTTTTTATGTTAAAAAAATTTCGAATGTACTCATATTTAGAAGAAAGAGATTCAGAAATGTTTTATCCCCACGAATGCTTAGGTTGTGAACGAGCTATCGAGGTTTTTCCAAAAGACTACAGCATAGGGTTCTTAAAAAAAGAGATAAAGAACTCTCTTCAAGGTCTGCAACCCGCACCATCAACCGCTTACCATCAGTTGGGTCTATGCTCCTTCGCCACCTCAGTGTTATTAAAAAAAAATAACAATCCCTTTAATTCCGGACAAACATTGTCAGGACGGCAGTATTTGTAATTATACGCTATAGACCTTGATAAGGTGACTTTCCTATGGTTGACTGGGAGAGAATGCTTTTAGCATTAAGTCCGCCATGTACACATATTTGTACTAATGAATAAATAAATAAATAAAATAAGTGAAAGCAAACAGGGGAGAATTCTTTACCTAAAGTAGGACCATATATCAGCATAAGATCTTAGTATAAAAGTTTGTTTTTCTGTCGTTGCGTCAGTCCTTAACTGTTCACAGTTGAACATAGCCTCTCCCTTAATGGGGGGTTATGCTAGTAGTCATCAAGTTTGGCAGGCAGGTTGGCAACTGCAGTTTGGCTTCTGGTGATATTTTAAAACAGATGCTGTTACCCATTCCTCAACCCTTAGTTGCCTATTACGACATCCACGGGAAAGTCAGAGGTGGCCTTTTGTATGCTGGGATTTGTATGGCTTATTTTTAAAGTAACACCTGTAAATTAATGTCAAGAGTTTTTATTAACTTCACACATTCCAACATTCGCCCGTTCAATTTTGCCGTTACCGCGCGCACTCCACATCGGCTTTTAAATAAAACTGGCTTGCTAGTTAATTGAACGGGAGTTCTTCCGGGATTCGCGGGATTTCCACCGGGTTCCCGGGATTATTCAATGTACGACAATGTTGCATTCAGTTTTAAGAGGAAAATATTTTTTTGAAAATGCAAAGTGTTAGCTTGGATTTACCAATGGGTTTACAACTGTTTTTTTGTAGCTCATGATTTTAAATAGATTAACTTACTGTGCAGCGACAAATGAAGCAGCCATATGCCATTTCTGCTTATATTACATATTTATTCATTAATCCATCTTGTCCATCTTCATGTCAACCGTAATCTGTCCACTGTTGAACATAGGTCTGCCCCATAGACTGTCATATGGAACGGGGCTGTTCCTTATGGCAGTTTAACATTGCGAAGATTTTGTCAATACTTGCCATGCTTAACAAATGAGTTGGCAACTGCAGTTTTTCTTTTGGTATTGTTTTAAAAAGGATGCTACTGCTCCTTCCTCGACCAGTAAATTCCCTTAGTCGCCTCTTACATCTACGAGAAAGGACAGGGTGATCCATTTTGTGCCTTACATACCAACTCTCCTCATATTTAGCAATATTTTTGAAATATAAAAATCAAAAGCTAATAATTGTTATGTTAAAAATTTCGAAGCAAGTGGTGTTGGACCCTGTACTTTTTACTTTATCTTAATAGGCCATCTAAAAGTAATGCTTACTTACCGTGAAGCAGTTGTGTCTGCATGGCTGTGTTTCGGTTTGAAGGGTGGGATATGGCAGTGAATTTACAGCGTACAGAGGAATAACACCTGAGTCCTCAGGAATGACAACGCATGGGGGGTATCATGGGCGAAACAGTATACTCTTAGGTGGGCCGTCAGCTTGTTTGCCATTCTAAGTTGTATAGAAAAAAAGATATATTTCATTGATCCAAAATCCATGCATACGAAATTGAGAGGGAAAAAGCTAGTCTAATATAAATTCAACATGCAATTAACAATCTATTTTTCTATTTGTCCACAGACCACGCATCAGCTATCGTAGGCAACACAGCTCGTTTGCGATGCCGCATCGACGGCAAGTCCTGTGGTGATCTCCACAGCATCAAGTGGTACAAAGCTGATTCCAGAGTATATGTGTACTCAGCGTCCAAAGATGCAGCGATCAACAGGCCAGAAGGAGAGATGATGGACAGGTCAGTGAAATTTATTAGGTATTTTTTCGCAATTTTTGGTAAAGATTTCTCTGTTTGCAAAATTTTGAAGAAATAAAATTTTTAGAGAAAAGTAAAATTGGCTTGGAGAAATTTGGGTTTTTTTTGGACTTTTGGGTAACACTTTTGGTGCCTGTAAACTCTACTCATATCAAGGGATACCACGTGGAAGTCGACCTGATGGTTATATCAATAGAATTACTAAACCTTATTACCAATAATCCCTTTCTTCATATATGGAGTTTTTTTTTATGGATGTTAATGGAATGGTAATCCCACCATACGCCAACCCCGATATACGCTAGTACAGCACCAGTAACGGATGATAGGTGGGAATGAGGAAACAGGTTAGTAAGACCAGCGTAATGAATACATCTGAGATTCAATACGATGGTTTCCAGGGGGAACCACGAGGAAATCAACCTGACAGAGTGTATTTGCTAGCAATGGAACTAGTAGTTCGTATTACTAACAGTACCTTCCCCCTTATATGGGGATTGTGAAAGTAGATAATGCATAAAAATTAAGTACCTAAAAGTAGAGGATTTTTCAGCTGGTTTCCTCTGCTACTCCATAAGGATTTTATCATAAAGATATAATAGAGATAATGGCTACGTTAAGACATAAAACTAAGCACGATTAAAAAGCAGTAATACAGCGTTCCAACGCCACGTGCACGCTCTTAATGTCAGCGGTGTGTTTCATGCAATAATCGTTGATGTGAAGTATAACAGGACACGGGAACTATCTCTTATTACGTGTTAACATAACAACATACTCGTATAATATGACAAATGTTTTTGGAATTATTATTCTAGTAATTTATTTTATTATTTTATTTTTTATTTATTTATCCAATTTATTGTAATAATCTCTGTGTTTTTACTTTATTTGTTTACTCTCTCTCTCTACAGTTTAATAAGTCGACAGAATTTAAGATTTGTTAAAATTGTTACTAAAACAAAATTAGTACCAAATTTTAGTCATTCGAAATAGATAAAAGTTTAATTTATTTTTTATGTATACTACTGTTGGACATGACAGACTGTTTTATTTGGATCGATTATTTATTTGTCTATATTTTCAACAGATTTTAAAATGAAGGAGATTCTAAATTCGATTGTATTTTTTATTATTTATTACCTCATAACTCCTTTACATAAGTAAAGTTCTTCCATATCGGTTTATAAAAACCGATATGGAAGATTATTTTTGTATCTGAAAGGATATATGTACTTACAGATTGGTTTCATAGATTTTTTGTCAAAATCGGTTTGGTAGTTCGGTTTTTTTTATACAACTTAGAATGGCAAACAAGCTGACGGCCCACCTGATGGAAAGTGGTAACCGTCGCCTATAGACATGAGCAGTACCATGTATATAACAGAGTATACTGTTTCACCCATGATACGCGTTGCCATTCCTGAGGACTCAAGTGTTATTCCTCTGTACCCTGTAAATTCACGCCATATCCCACCCTTCAAACCGAAACGCAACGATGTAAACACAACTGCTTTACGGTTGAAACACGAATGGGGCAGAGGTACCCAAGCAATCGACTTTTGTACAAAGTCTCCCTCTGGTTTTTAAATCAGTGGACATTATATACAGACGTAAACCACTACCGTAATCCAAGTACCTGCATTCTAAATTTAAATTTATTGACAAATTATGTTATAAATGGTAAACAAAAAAACAATCAATAATATTACATAAAATTTAAATAGTTATATATTACTGAAATGGTAATATGTCTATACGGTAGCGCCATCTACCACTCTTATTGGATCCACAGAAAATCAACGTTTAAGCGTTATGTTTGAATGACAAAACACTTAGCTGAGTGGTGGCCATTTTGGTCGCATAATTCTTAATTAGGTATAAGTTTATTTCTGTATTTCCTTTTTCTTTAAGTTTATAATGGTTTATGTTTAATTTGAAATTGTTATTAATATTGTTATTGTACTGTATCAGCCGTTAACTCCACTGCGAAATACAGCTTGCTAAATATTGGGGGGAGGGAGGGTTACCAGTAGTTGCCACGCTTGGCAGACGCATTGACAACTACAATTAGATCTTTAGTGATGTTTTAAGAGGGACGCTGCTGTCCATCCCTCCACCACACGTTACTGATATGTGCCAAATAAATATTTATCTTTCTTTATTCCCTATACTATTTTTGCAAACAGTCTGTGAGAGAATAGCCACTCGTTTTGTCTACCCAATCGAAGATAGCCGCCGCGTGTATATCATGAATGTATTTTAACACCGATTTCAACCGCCGATCGTGCAATATTTATGTCTCATACAATCGTAAACAGGTCGCTAGTCTAGACACCCCATTTGTTACTTACGATCTGTTTAAAATGAAATATACCAAATTGAACCTTACGGCCTGAAGGATAAAAGGCATTTAAAACGCAAACCGTGTTCTATCAGTTGGTATTTGCTGTAAAACTAATAGAATGAGTAATGAGATCCAAATGGCAGAGCTATTACATGTCTGATTATTTTTTATTGGTACTAAAGGATATAGCAAACAAGTTGTACACCTGATGGGAAGTGGTAACCATTGTCTATAGGGATCGCTAGTAATGGGGTTTACTAACAGTAATATATCCTATAAAGTCGACCTCCACGTGGTTCTCTCTAATAATATCTAGGAGGGAGGAAAGGGATTGTTAGTAATGGAGACTGAGAATCCTATTGCTAGCAATATACCCAACCAGGTCGACCTCCTCGCGGTTCTCCCTGGAAACTATCATGGTTAATTCCTGATGAATTCATCATGATGGGCTAACTGGCCTGTTTTAATTCTCATCTATCACCCTACACTGGTGCTCCGCCAGCGTATCCCGTTAGCGCAGGCGGGGATACCATACCATTTTCACCCATAAAAAAAAAACTGTCATTGCCAACCCGCCTGTTCAGCGTGGTAACTACAGGTAAAATTCTTATGAAGAAGTCTCTGTCCAGCAGTGGACAGTTACAGGCTGATGTAATTATCGAATATAAACAATTGTGACTGGCTCCTTTACTATAGTTTTTGAATTAAGTACTACACCAGTTGCTAGGAAACCTTTTGTTATATTAAAATAGAGAATTTAAGTTTTTTTTTTCTCTTCATTCTATTCCCTTGCAATAGAATAAAAATAATAAAATAGTCTATTTCATTAGAAATTTATGAAAAATTTATGTAAATAAATAAATAAATGACACGACTAGAAGTCAGTCTGCTGATGTCCAATAGTAAAAGTTCGACAAATAAAAGACGAACCAATTAATTAATTGATTGCTTGCAATCTGTTACGGATTACATTTAGATAGTATTCCTGTGGCAATTTCTACATCATTCATTATTGTATTCTACAGAAAAACGGACTTTAATTGTAAGAAAATCAATTATTTTGATTTATTAACTAAATAATTTATTTTCTTAATTGATTGCTTGGGTACCTCTGTGCCATTCGTGTTTCAACCGTGAAGCAGTTGTGTTTACATGGCTGTGTTTCGGTTTGAAGGGTGGAATATGGCGTGAATTTACTGGGTACAGAGGAATAACACCTGAGTCCTCAGGAATGGCAACGCATGGGTGGTATCATGGACGAAACAGTATACTCTGTTATGTCCATGGTACTGCTCATGTCTATAGGCGACGGTTACCACTTTCCATCAGGTGGGCCGTCAGCTTGTTTGTCATTCTAAGTTGTATAAAAAAAAATACACGGCGATCGAATCCGCTACCGTCGGAAAATAAAATTTCTTATGTCACTACAGTTAGTTCACCATGATAGTCTAATTCAATGGTATAGTGAGTAGTCGTGACGACTGAATAATCGAATCGCCATATTCCACCTTTCAATTCGATGATTAAATCGAATAGCAATAGATAGAAATTAATCCTATTGACACGTAATCCGAGCCGAGCCGACTCGAGGTGGGTAATAAGCTTGGACCGGATTTATTAACGAGTGATAATGGAGTTTGTATTGTGACCGTTGTTTCTCATGTGTGACGTCAGCAAACGCCACATTTTGTTATTTCGATAGTTCGTTCCGTTCCTTTTATAGAATAGAAAGGATTTTTTTTTAATTATTTAGACATAAATACACATTTTTTTCCTTTTTTTTTTTTAATTTGGTTTGTGTTTCTCATGTTTGGTTATAGTTTTATGGTATAAATTTATATATTAATTTAATTACCAGTGAGAAACTTTGGATAAAAGTCGTTTGCTTGGGCACCTCTGTACCATTTGTGTTTCTATCGTGAAGCATAGCTGTGTTTCGATTTGAAGGGCGGAGTATGGCAGTGAATTTACAGGGTACAAATGAATAACACCTGAGTCCTCAGGAATGGCAACGCTTGGGAAGTATCATGGGCGAAACAGTATACACTGTTATGTCCATAGTACTGCTCATGTCTATATGCGACGGTTACCACTTTCTATTAGGTGGGCCGTCAGCTTGTTTGCCATTCTAACTTGCATAAAAAAAAAATTAAATATAATATTAAATTATTAAGACTATATAATTATACCTTTAATAACAAATTGTTTAAAATGTGGTATATCTTTTTCCATCGTGATGAGAGTTTTGTGGTATTAATTTCATTTATTTATTTATTTATTTATGTACACTTTATTGCACCATTTATAGAATAGTAAACACATTTAACTGTAATAAGAAATGACACAAAAGGCGGCCTTATCGCTAAGCAATCTCTTCCAGACAAGCTTTGGGTAGAGAACATTGAGAAAACAAAGAAAAATAAAGGGTAGGTGGCGCACTATTATATTAGTACTATTATATATAAACAAATATATACAAAGATATATACATTTACATGTATATACATATACATACATTAATTTCATTTAATATTGTTATATACAATAAAAACTTTTATATACACATATGAGTAGATGTTTACTAAATATAATGGTTTCCAAATGACGAAATTCAAATGTTTTCTCTAAAAACGTTATAAAGTTTACTTCTAACTGACTGTTAAATGATGTTTTCAATGTAAGGTTGGCAAACTGCGGTATTGATAAATTTTTGTATTGTTTTCTTTTTAATGGTTCATTTCTGTTTGCAAACTGTTATTGTAACTTATAATAAATAAATAAATAAATGTCAATCATGCTGTGAACACATGTTTTTTTATTGTAACCTAGTATAAAAACCATAATTACCCACATATGAACCTAACATGGCTATAATTTGTTACGCGTGCCTCATTAAAATAAAATAATTATATAATACACTATTTCCACTAGACACTGTAAATGGTGGACTTGAAACCATTATGACATTATCTACCAGTCAACAGCGTAGACAGAAATAACAATAATTTACGCTGCAAAATAATGAGCAAATAAATAGAAATAAAAAACAACATAGAGTATTTACATATCGTGTAAAATAGTAATACATAAATAACATGTGTGTATATATATATATATATATATATATATATATATATATATATATATATATATATATATATATATATACCACATGTTTTTATTTTTTGCGAAAGAGGTTTTTTTTGAATCGAAGCATTTGGCGTTCCATTGTTTCTGCCTACCCTAATGGGAGACAGGCGTGAAGGATATGTATATAATTAAATAAATGATTAATCAAAATAATCAATCAAGTATCGATCTGTACTATATATTCTTTCTTAAGAAATTACCATATTATTAGTTAAATGTCAATGTTTTAAAGATTTTTTATTATTACAGTACAGATTAATATTTTGAAGTATTATTATGGGAACGCTTTCAAACACGATTTATTACTTTCGCCAAGACTGCATATATTTCTATTTCAGACGTCTGAGGTATTAGTGCATTAATTTTTCATTCCCAACACTTGCGCCTTTGGCGGTAATGTCAGATTTTCTAACGTGCTATTTCTAGACATTTCCCATTTAATTTGGCTTGTGATTTACCAGGTGTTTTCTTGTGGATCCTTTGTTCGATACTTAAGAGATAATAGCGTCAAGCTAGTATATTTAATATTGATCCCCTTTTTCGTGAAAACGTCGAATCTATTTTACCTATTAAAGTGTTTTGTGTTTTTATATTACGCTACATTCTTCATTTGAAAGAAAGTGTTAAAGCACTTCCATTGTTTTGTAAGAGTTTTTAGTTTTTATAAATAAAACATTAGTCTATAGTTCAAACCTTAAATTATTAAGTATATAGATTGACAATGTAAATAAATAACATGTATATTAGAACGAGATAGAAATGTAGAATACTCAAGTAAGCGTTATAAATAAGCTCGAAGCCGATTTGTCAAAATTGTGCATTTTCGCGTAATTACGCTTTCAAGAAAATACTTTAAATTAATTATTAATTTAAAAATATTTGGCAGGAAAAAGATATCTATTTTAAGCCAATAAATAAATAAATGAATAAATAAATAAGGTAACTCAACCTTTTTTTTATACAACTTAAAATGGCAAACAAGCTGACAGCCCACCTGATGGAAAATGGTAACCGTCGCCTATAGACATGAGCAGTACCATGGACATAACAGAGTATACTGTTTCGCCCATAATATTCCCCATGCGTTGCCATTCCTGAGGACTCAGGTGTTATTCCTCTGTACTCTGTAAATTCACGCCATATCCCACCCTTCAAACCGAAACATATATCTGTATGTATTTTTGTAACATAAAAAAACAAAAAAAAACATGATATCTGAATCAATTTTAATTTTCTCTTTTTATTTGTCGTTTCAAGTATAATAAACAAAAAAATAGACGGAATTCATATAAAATGTAAAGTACATTAATGAAGACTTAACAGCTATGAATTTACCATTTAAAATACTCATTCGAAACAATTGCCTAACGCTGAATTAAACCGCGCCGCGTATTGGTGATAAATAACTTTGCATATGCATTAACTCCAATAAATTCTACTCGGCACCTTAATCCCTCGGCGCGATAATAATGTATCGATCGACACACGCTCACGTGACACAGTGAGTCCACGTACACCACGTAATATATTACATGTATCACGATTGTACTGTCGACGAAGAAATTGGCTTGTATGTTGTATAAATGATGATTTATTTGCATTACTGGGAACTATGTGTTTATAAAATATACTAGTTCTTGGTGTTATATATTATTATTTATTAATTATATTGTATTAATTGTAAGTAAAAATACCGTCTGTTGAATCGATGTAGTGTATATTTTGTTATAATTCATTTGTTTTCAATTTTCTTTTTTATTAAACAACTACTATCTATCAATTTTTCTAAAAAGGTTCATTTTAAACAATTAGTATTAGGTCGTACTTTAAGGTAGAAGTAAAATCAGTAGTTTTTTATTCTATCATTGAAATCGGATATTTTTCTCAAATGAGTATGTGTCGAAAAATGAGAAATGCCCATGACAAAACAGTGAAATATGCACATTAAAATAAATTATTTATAACAAAGTCGTAAGAATAGAAAACCTTCCATCGTCATATCATCATATCAGCTTTTAACTGTCCACTGCTGAACATAAGGGGAGGCCCCTTAGGGGGTTTTGCTAGTAATTGCCACGCCTGACAGATGGATTGGCAACCGCAATTAAGCTTTAGAGATATTTAAAGAAGGACGCTGCTGCCCACCTCTTGCCTTTGCAAATATTCTATATATTTTAATATAGTTATCTATAACAAAACCGTAAGGCTATAAAAGTAGGTAGGGGGGTAGCAAACAAGTATACCGCCCACCTGGTGGCTACCGTAGCCTATGAACGTCTACAACACTAGGGGTATTACGTGCGTTTTGCTGTTCCTGAAGAAACCTCTTTACCCTTTTTTTAAGAACCCCATGTTGTAGTTTCATGGGAAAACCTCGAACAGGGAGCTCATTATATAACCTGAGAGTTTGTAGGAGGAAGCATCTTTGAAATCGCTCTGTATGCGACTACCTAAGTTATGGCGGTATATATATATATATATATATATATATATATGTATATATAATATTTATTATATAATATATTATTACATTTATAATATAATCTCAAATAAAAAGAGTATTAAAATACTTTTACTAAGGAAAGTATTTATTTGTTTATTTTATTTTATATTTATATTCCCAAAGAGGTTGACGTTAGGCAGACGGCCGGTCGTAAAACTATAAATCTTTTTGTAAAATGTTTAAAAAACATATGCTCCACATAATATTTAGGATAAGGTTAAGCAGAAGAAGAAGAATGTGTTGACATAATAATAAAGTATTAGTTAATAATAAAAATGTCGTCGTATCAATCGACACGCTTACATGTGACACAGTGAGTCCACGTACAACGCGGAATACGAGTATATTACATGTTTTGTGATTGTACTGATAAAGAAATACGACTGTATGTTGTATAAATGAAGATTTATTTTGCATTACCGAGAATCGTGTCGCATTACCTGGCCTACTAGTAAATAAATTTATATATTACTAATAACAAATTCGTAAGGGTAATTAATTTAAATATTCAAATTTTTATCAATAACAAAATCGTATGTGTCGAAAATTCACACATTTTTTGTAATCTGATTAATAAAGGATAAATTAATAAATAAAATAAATTGTAATTAAATTATCAGTCATGAGGTCAAAAAGTCTGTATATTAAAATAATTAGTAACAAAATTTATGTTTCCATCTAATCGTAAGAATTGAAAATGCAAAACAAACAAACTAAAGTTTCATGCCAATCATCAGAACGAGCGGCGGTCCTCCACCGTGCGTTTTTCAATGCACTTTCTTCCACGCACAACCATTCTTTGGAAGCAACTTCCAGCAGCAGTAGTTCCGAACCGATACGACAACATAACCTTCAAGAAAAGAGCATATTCCTTTTTAAATGGCCGGCAGCACACCTGCAATGCAAAAATGTAAAAAAAAGTAATTATTCTTTTTTTTTAAATATTAATTTCAATTAAATATAACTAAATCAGGTCCCCTGAGTATATTATTAGTCATACGTACCTACAGTTTTTAAAGTCATGATTTAATGACTAATCGGATTTGAATGACGAATGGTGATTACTTAAAAAAATATATGTAATTTATCATAATCGGTTGAGTACGTCATAGTTAAATATAGAGTTAATTTTAAACTATAACCAGATAGTGGTAATCAGAAAAAACAAAGCACGAGAAGAATATTAGGTATCACACTGATCTTCTAAATAATATAACTCTGATTGCCGTTGACTGTTCACTGCTGAACATAGGCCTCCCTCTTTGTGGGTTTTCCAGTAGTTGCCATGCTTGGCAGGCGATTTGGCAACAGCAGTTTGCGTTTGGTAATGCTTTAGGAAAGACACTGCTGCCCATTCTTCGACTATTAAGTTTCTTTAGTCGACTCTTACGACATTCATGGGAAAGAAACGGGTGGCCCAGTCTATACCGAAACCACACAACTTGTAAAATTTTAATTAATTAAATTTAATTGCCACCCGTGATTTTAAACTGAAAAGTGCCAACAACAGGGGGGACATAGAAAATAATGAAAAAAAAAAAATAGCGGATAACTAACTAACAAGTAAACGAGAGAACTTGCGACAGAAGCAAGTTGATTAACTAACTCCGTGGTAATGTTACAACGTGACGGGAAGTGCAACCACGTAGATGCGGCGGTGTAAAGTGGAAGCTGAAGCGGGAACGGGAGCGGAAGCAGAAACTTAAGCGAGAAACGTAATAACGCCGATCGCTTCTAAAATGTAATACGATATAGTAATGCAAATTATATTCATATAAATGGAGTAAAAATAAAGAAAGCCTTGGAACGGTGAGGTTACTCCGTGAGGCCTGTGAAGATCTCAGGAAGTTTCTGTGTTTCTGGGCGAAGTTGGGTTGGCTATTCTAGCCACGACTCATACGCACAACGGCCCAAATGAGAGGCTAAGCGCGGAAAAGAGAGTCCAATTTACATTGCATTACATTACATGGAGTAAAAATACAATGTACTCGTATTTTGTCTGTAAGATATCGTAGGGGATTAATAAACAAAATCTAACCACAATGTTACCACTGAATTTAATACAGATGGCGCTGTACATTTTTATTTAGTGGTATTTATTCTTTATTTATTAAATAAATAAATATCACAAAACACATTCTAAGCGCCATCTATAACCAAATTCATTCATGCTTGTACTATGGGTATTATACAAAAGAGACACCACGCCAGTATACACAGTCCAACATTATATGCCAGCTACAAACCCAGCGACCTGAAGGTCGTCGCCTCCGGAGTAGAAGCCGGGGTAATGGGGTCCCAAGGCCCCTACCTCGCTCGCCCATACATCATCCGGTGGGAAAAGAGAAGACTTTGTTGTTGTTGTTGTTATACAAAAGATACAAATAAAATAGTATCCAACGCCATGCGGTCATGGTATAGAATGGGCTACCCTTTTCCTTCCCATACGTGTCGTAATAGGCGACTAAGGGAACTTAATGGTCGGATTGGTAGCATCGTCCTTTTTAAAACATCACTAACGTTTAACAGTTGCCAACCGGTCTGCTAAGTGTGGCAACTACTGGCAAAACTTCCCTTATAGGAGAAACCTATGTTCGGCAGTGGTCAAGTTATATATATTCTTTATTGCACTTGTAAATTACATTGTTAATGCATTTATAAATATTGTGAGCAAGGGTGGACTTATCTCTGACAGAGATCTCTTCCAGTCAACCCAATGCAGTTAGAAAACATGTTGTTAGCGGGTAGCTGATATGCTACAACTATTAAAGGCTGATATGGTATTATCGCTACCGCTTATGATTTGGACTACATTTAAATAAGTACGGTCTGAATGTTCATATTTATGTTTAGCATTAGGGTTAATTTAAATTTAAATTAGGTGACAGATAGTTTATCTGGTTGTGTCGAGTTCGTGGTTTAATTATATCTTCAATGTCAAGACTCAAGATTTAGTTTCCAGATCAGAGCACACAGAGATACCTTGGAAACTGTGGCTCGAAGTTTTGGGTTTTTGACGACATTTGAATATTGAGAAGCAGTCAGTTTGTGTAATGAATAAAAGTTTTTATAATAACTACTATATATAAACTTGCCGTATGTGCCCCGACATAGAATGGGCCACCCCTTCTCCGTGGGTGTCGTAAGGGAGAGCAAGGGATGGGCAACAGCGCCCCTCTAAAAACATCTCTAAAAACTTAATTGCGGTTGCCAACCCGCCATGCCAAGCGTATCAACTACTGGCAAAACTTTCCCCATAAGGGGAAGCTTATGTCCAGCAGTGGACAGTTATAAAAAAAAAATAAAATAAAAATTAGTTAAATCAGTTAATGGCTGATACATTATTTTTTTTAATATTTCCCATGTGCAGACATCGTCCAGTCACAATTCGATCATATTAATGAGACGAAATACACTGTACACACTTGGTTTAGTCAGGGGTTAGCAGCAGTAATAGAAGCCAACACAGTATTTTTTGGAAATTTTGTCTATCTATATATTACTTCAAACATCACACAAAAATTACTGTATCAAATTTAAAACGGTTTTAATTATTGTACTTTGGAAGAGCAAACTTAAAAAATGGTGTATGTTTGTCTTGATACGCCATATAGAATCAGTTCATTTCGTTGATTTTTCTACTTCAGAAATCCGTGTATACGAAGTAGCGGGAAAATAGAATTAAAAAAAATAAAAAAATTATTTGGTGCTGTTCCGAAGTAGTTAATGGTTTTCATCAGGTAGACCATTAGCTTGGATGCTATTCAATTTGCTTACGAAAAAAGGATTCAACTATGCGGTGTTTTAGTAAACTTTGAACTCAAATCCACATCCGCGTTAACCAAACTCTGGTTGTACCGTTAACCGCCGGTCTGAACTTACTTTTAATTACGCCATAACATTGCTAATTAGTGCAGTTAGACGAAATTCTGGTGATTTCTCGGATATGGTTATAGTCCGTAACTACGAGACTGGAAGACGTTTTGATGCAATTATTGTTATATTTGTAATTTATAAGAAACTTGGATGTTTCCTTGTTTTAGTTGTTTAATACGTGTTTTGATTACATTTACCATGTAATATAACTTCCCATGATCTTACAAAGTCATCCAGTACCAGATAAATTTAAAGTTTTTCAATGGATGACAATGTAACCTTTTTTTTTTATACAACTTAGAATGGCAAACAAGCTGACGGCCCACCTGATGGAAAGTGGTAACCGTCGCCTATAGACATGAGCAGTACCATGGACATAACAAAGTATACTGTTTCGCCTATGATACCCCCCATGCGTTGCCATTGCTGAGGACTCAGGTGCTATTCCTCCGTACCCAGTAAATTCACGCCATATTCAAATCGAAACACAACCTTCAAGAAAAGAGCGTATTCCGTTTTAAAGGATGGCAGCATATTTGTAATTCATCTAGTATTGGGGGTGTTTATGGGTGGTGGTAGTAATTTACTAACAGGCAAGTCGTATGCTTATTTGCTCCCTGTGTTATAAAAAAACATGATATTTTTGCTTGCGTTATCAGTATATGACTGCCGGTGGGATATCAGAGAACGATGTTAGGTAAGGATGAAGGTAGAACAGTTTTTTTTAATGGATGTTAATGGAATGGTAACCCCGCCTATGCTATCGGTATACACCGGCGGGGCACCAGTGAGGGATGATAGGTAAGGGTGAAGCAGTTCAGTTAGCCCATCATGACGAATTCAACAAGAATTGTTTACGATGGTTTCCAAGGGGAACTAAGCACTATACTATAGCAGCTAAGTTCTCAGGAATGGCAACGCGTGAGAGATACTATACGAGTATATGTCATAGTATATACTGCGATGTCCATAATGCTGTTCGTGTCTTACCGTTTTCCATCTTCTATAAAAACAAAAATATAGTGATTATTGTGGATAGTTGGATAAATAATCGTATTTCAACTGACATATAAGTGCAATTACATTGACAAATGTCTCAATGGGACAGTATCAGATCGCTGTTCGAGAATATTCCATTCCATGCCGGGGGCGAAGTGCCGGAATTTTATTCCATCGGTACCCGATATACCGGTATGCTGGAATTACCGGTAAAATTATTGTGTCATTAAAACGGTGCATGTCCTGCGTGTTTATCTGATTATATTTAGAAAATCACGTCGCTCATAATATTTAAATAGGTATGGTTTTTTATCTGTTTTTTTGTAACTTAGAATGTGAATTCCATTTATGATTTTTTTTTTATAGTCTTATAAAAAAACTAACAAACGAGGTAAACGAGCGGCTCACCTGATGGTAAGTGACTACCGCCGCCCATTAGCACCCGCAACACCAAAGGCATTGCAGGTGCGCTGCCGGCCTTTTAAAAAGGAATATGCTTTTTTCTTGAAGGTTACGATGTCGTATCGGTTCGGAAATACTGTTGCTGGAAGTTGATTTTAAAGCCTGGTTGTACGTGGAAGTAAGTGTTCTGAATAACGAATGGTGGAGGACCGCCATTTGTCCAGATGGTTGTGATGAAACTTTAGTTTTTGGCGGATTGTACGTTGGTGAAAATCAGTAGCAGGTATCAGTTCGAACAATTCCTGGGAACATTCTTACAGATCACGGATCTTATTTCAATTACAATATAAATAATTTAAAACATTGCTTACCTAAAAATTTTTTGTCAAATCTCTCAGTAATTAATTAATTAATTTTTTAATCGGTATGATGAAGACACACACACACACGCACACGCACGCACATACGCACGCACGCACGTTCGTTCGCACGCACGCACGCACGCACGCACACACGCACACGAACGCACACACGCACGCACGTATGTACGCACGCACGCACACACGCACGCACGCACGCACACACGCACACAACCAAGTTTAATTTGTATCATGAATCAGACACGTGTAACATCACTATTCAGAGAACATACGAATCAAAACTTCCGAGCCATTTGTCTCTATTCCAAATATCCAACTGCTGTTGCACAGATTAATAGTCATACATGTATTTTGTTTCACTCTAAAAACTCCTGTTA